ATGAGTTAGCTCTAAGACAATACAACTTATTACTGATATCGCGATCACAAGAAAAGTTGGAAAAAGTGAGAAATGAATTACAAATAATCCAAAAGCCATTCAATACAACCACCAGAATATTGGCCCTCAATTTCACGTCAACCCATATATACACACAATGCGAGCAAACATTCAGGGAGTTGGACCCAGACATCCATGTGTTGGTCAACAACGTAGGTATGGGTTATCAAGACGGTATACCTGTCAGATTTGGGGAAACACCTAATTTGGACCAATTCTGTACGGATATGATTAACGTTAACATAATGTCGTGCACACGACTCACGGCACTTGTATTGCCGGCAATGGTATTCAATGGACAGGGAGTCATAATCAACGTATCGTCGTTCGCGGCTAACCTTCCCATTCCTTTACTGAGCCAATACTCGGCCACCAAAGCATACATGGATTACTTTAGCCGTGGATTAGCCGTTGAGTACAATGATCGAGGTATTATCGTTCAGTCAGTGATGCCTAACGTGGTGTCCACCAAAATGGTTGCCCAACCCATCCGGAACAGTAGCTTTATTCCCAGCGCTCGGGACTACGTACGCCATACTATACGCACCGTTGGTTTTGCGAGCCGTACCGCTGGCTACCCGTCCCATCGAATCGCACAGATTTTCTACGATTTTGTTGCCTTTATATCCGATATAATTGGCGTGAATTTGGGCCAAAAACTAACGTTTTTAATGAACAAAATGTTTAAAAAGTTCAATAAAATAGATTAGTTTATGAACTAGGTGTATTATTAAAATTTACACACTATAATGGTAATCAATGTAATTAAGATTAACTTATATAAACAATTTATAATATTACAATTACTTAACACATGAATAAAATGTTTTCCCCATTAAATGACAACAAAATGAATGAATTTTGTTTAACATGTGTGTCGAGTACTGTACTGTATATTCACGAGTAAGTTATTACTGGTATTATTAGGAATAATAATATTTTTGATGTAAAAATGTGTTTTATATTCAATATTATAATGCTGACAATTTAGCAATTAGAAATAGTAGAAATAATTATTAAAAGTTTTAAATTAAACTAACAAGTAAGTTTAATATAGTTAAATAATTTTAACACACCTCACGAATTAATCTAATTTTTAAGCGTTGTTTAAATTAATTAATTTTAATTATCAATTGATTTATAAAATAAAATATTATAAATTTATAAACTGTCATAAAATGTTTAGCAAATTATGTGAACGTTTGGGACAAATATTGATGTATTTAATAGCTATTCGTCTCATTATAATGGTCTGGCGTTTCATCAAAAATTATAACAAAAGTGATGTATTAGTTGGAAATGGATGCAAATGGGCTGTGATTACCGGTGCCACGGATGGCATAGGGCTGGCATACGCTCATGAGTTAGCTCTAAGACAATACAACTTATTACTGATATCGCGATCACAAGAAAAGTTGGAAAAAGTGAGAAATGAATTACAAATAATCCAAAAGCCATTCAATACAACCACCAGAATATTGGCCCT